GCGGAACCACAAAAATGAAGATCACATGGAGGGTTAGCAACAGGAGAGTGGGAGGAGAAGGGGGGAGAAGGTACATAAAATAAGTAGCATGGACAGTAGGTAGAAAATAGATAGGGGGAGGGCAAGAATAGTAAAGGAAATATAGAATCTAAAGAACTTGAGACACGTGGTCATAAACTGAAGGGGAGGAATGGTGGGGGAGGGGGTGTGCAGGGTGGAGGGGAATAAAGGGGGAAACAGAACTGTAATGGCATAATCAATAAACAATAAAATATATATATAAAAAAAGAACGATGAGGACCTGAAGTAACGAGTAACTTCTAATGAAATTCCCTTTGACCAGAGTGTAGCAAAAGAATAAAAAAACTAATGCAACAATATATATATGAACATATGCATAATTTTTATATATCATATATTTTAATATATTCTTATATATATACACTTTTTGCTATTACATTACAGATTGTCTTTTTCTGCATTAATCAAAAAGGACACAGAAGGTTACAAAACAAAAAGAAAACAGAAGCTAAAATTCAAAACAGGACTTCTAGTCAAGAGGCACTATAGGCAAACACGGCTCACCTCCTTGTACAACCACATCAAAATTGCAACTAAAATGCAAACAACCATCACTCAGAACCATCAGAAATCAAGTTGAATGGATGTCTGACAACTATGGAATTACAGAAACCTTACCCATCCAGACTGGTAGGAGGGGTGGAGATGTGGAATGGGCTGAACCCACACCCATGTGTGACGGATAAAAATTTGGGAGGGATATCTCAGGAGCAAGGAGTCCCAGCTCCACACCAGGCCCCCCAGCCAAGGGTTCTAGTGCCAGAAAGATAAGTCCCCACAACTTTCAGCTGCAAAAACCATCAGGGATTGAGTTGGTGAAAGAAATTTCTGGAGTCCCAAGCAGTTCCCCTTAAAGAACCATGCATGGACATGCTCAGACTCACTCCCCCTGAGCTCCAGCACTAGGGTAGCAGTTTGAAAGGCACCAGTGGCATATGGGGAGGAACCGAAAGTACCTGGATCAAGGCAGGAGCTGAAGGGCTGTTTTCTCTCAGAAAGAAAGGTAGGCAGAGACAACTATCCCTTTTCTGAGCCCTCCCAGCACAGAGACACAAAGTTGACAGGCCAGTGCTATATCTGAGACTCCATCAACCTGACTAACACTGTTTGCCCCAACATGGAGATCCCCTGAGACTCCGTACCACCCAACCTATGGGCCCAACCAAACTGTTAACTATGAATTTTCCATATGAATGGCTGGTCTTGGCTCATGCTTCACAACTTCTTAAATATTATCAAACAAACAAGAGCTGGTCTCAGTGAGCCCCCAGGCCCCCAAACCTCTTGCTAAGTGGCCCCAGCTTGAGCACTAGCAGGAGCCAGCCTAGATGCACTATTTGGCTTTGCCTGGCAATCTCTAAGTCCAGCACAAGTGGCAGCCCTCTCATTTGCTTTATAGGTCATGCAGGGTGGTCCCAGGCAGAACACAGGAGGGGGCACCTTGGCCTGCACCACCCCAGAAATCCCAGAGCCTGCACACTCAGTGGACAACTATAACTACTGACCACATCAGAGCACCACCATTCTGCCCCTGCACAGCTGACCCTCCACAAAGGCCAGAGGCTGGTGGTCAGTGGTCACGGCCAGTCTTTGCAGCTGACTGGCCTGGGTAAATACCTCCCATTGGCCTGCCAATAGCAATCAAGGTTCAACTATAAGAGGAGGGTGTGCTCAGCCCACATGGAGGGGGGTACCTCGAACACCAAGCTTGGGTGACAAGGGAGGTTGTGCCACTGGACCTATAGGATAGCTACTATATTAGGCCAAGCTACCAAGACAGAGTCATAGCCTCTCTACTTAATGCATAGAACAAACATATAGAGGCTAGATAAAGAAACACAGCCCAAATGAAAGGACAGATCAAAACCCCGGAAAAAGAACTAAATAAAATGGAGATAAGCAATCTATCAGATGCAGAGTTCAAAATACTGGTAATAAGGATGCTCAAGAAACTTAGTGAGGACCTCAACAGCGTAAGAAAGACCCATTCAGAAAACAAAGAATACAGTAAGTCAAATAAAGAATAATTTACATGGAAAAAGAATGGATAAAGATGAGAATCAAATCAATTATTTGGAACATAAAGAAGCAAAGAACAACCAATCAGAACAACAAGAAGAAAAATGAGTCCAAAAAATGAGGATAGTGTATGCAGCTTCTGGGACAACTTCAAGAGGTCCAACATTTGTATCATGTGGTGCCAGAAGGAGAAGAGAATAAGACCCTGGAAGTCTATCTGAAACAATAACAAAAGAAAACTTCCCCAATTTGGTGAAGGAAATAAGCATGCAAGTCCAGGAAGCACAGAGAGAACCAAACAAGATGGAAAAAAAGAAGCCCATATCATAATTAAAATGCCAAAGGTTAAAGATAAAGAGAATATCTTAAAAGCAGCAAGAGAAAAGCAGTTAGTTATCTACAGAGATGCCCTCATAAGACTGTCAGCTTATTTCTTAAAAGAAACTGCAGGCTAAAAGAGATTGGCAAGAAATATTTAAAGTCATGAAATGCAGGGACCTACAACCAAAATTGCCCTACTTATCAGCAAGCTATCATTTAGAATCGAAGGGCAGATAAAGAGTTTCCAAGATAAGAAAAAACTAAAGGAGTTCATCATCCCAAACCATTACTGTATGAAATGTTAAAGGGACTGATCTAAGAAAAAGAAGATGAAAACTATGAACAATAAAATGGCAATAAATACATATCTATCAACAATTGAATCTAAAAAACAACCTAAGCAAAGGAGAGTAACAGAGACAGAATCATGCATACAGAGACATTTTGATGGCTGTGAGACTAGAGAAGGTGTGAGGGAAATGGGTGAAGAGGTGAAGGGATTAAGAAGTACCAATAGATTGTTATAGAATAGCCATGGGGATGTAAAGTACAGTATAGGAAATGGAGTAGCCAAAGAACTTATACACATGACCCACAGACATGAACAATGGTGTGGGGATGGCCTGAGCGAGTGGGGGGTGCTGGTCGGAGGGGGGGGCAAAGAGGGAAAAATTGGGACAATTGTAATAGTAATATCAATAAAAATAATTTAAATAAATAGAAATAAAATTCAAAGCATTCTATTAATCTTAGAACTAGCAATTAATAATTGTTACCCCCAAATGAGTTATTTTATTAAAAAATAAATGAAATATTACTAGAGATTTAAATTTGTAAAGAGGAAAATTATTTAAAATATATCCTATAAAGTATCTAAAATCAGCCCTGGCTGGTGTAGCTCAGTGGATTGACCATGGGCCTGGGAACCAAACAACCACAGTTTGATTCCCAGTCAGGGCACATCCCTGGGTTGCAGGCCAGTTTCCAGCAGGGGATGCATGAGAGGCAACCATACATTGATATTTCTCTCCCTCTCTTCTTCCCTTCCCCTCTAAAGATAAACAAAATCTTTAAAAAAAGTATCTAAAATCAAAAACACTATCAAATTTCACAGAAAATTTAAGATATTAGTGAAGAAAAATCTAGAATACTAAATCTACAAAAATTAAAGCTACAAAATACTAAATCTACAAAAATTAAAGATCTTTTTTTCATGATTCACATCTGAACTTAAGGCAATAAGGAAAGAAAATAACATCTTAGCCTAACATTGTGAGCTTACCTAGTCATCCATGTATACAAATTAATATGCATAAACCTTAGACAGGATGATTATATTTATTTTGCATTTGAGAAAATAAAATCTCAGGTAAGTGTACTTACTTAATAACTGGGCTGTAAAATTTGTCTGTTTTAAAGGCATTAGTAGGCATTTGTAAATAAGACTATGTAAGCATTTCATAAGAATATACTTGTTTCACAAATGCAGAACTTCATATCAGAAAGCCCAGATTTACATTTGGGCAACAGAATGAAAATTTTTGGGTCAATATGAATTTGGTTTATATTTAGACTTTACCCCTTTGGAACTGTGGCAATTTGAATAACTTCTCCGTGTTTCAACAAGTATGGAGGGGGTTACAAGGCTTCAAAGGATTTTGCAAATATCAGGTAACTAATCAATTAGTAGTAGCTAGTTCTATTGTTCATAAAGAAAACATAAATAATATACTGCATTTAAAATTGAAGTAAATTTTTTTGAAATGGAATACTCTTCTTCCCTGTTAGGAATGTTTCTTTAGCCATAATAGATATATATATACATGCACACTGTTTAATAACACAACACCTAACTCATAAAAATACAGTCAATTCTTAATAATCCAAGAGCATACTAACTGGTTCGCAGTTACTCTATGATTAAAGTGCCATGAGAAACTTGACTTTCTTTCCTTTACTAGAGAGAAGCTGGTTAAGAAACTACAATACCCAACTTCTTGCCCTGACTATACTTACACTGTAGATCCCAAATCCCCACCACAGAATTTCTACTTGTTTAAACCCCAAGCTTCCCCAAGTGTTCTGGTTCCTGCCTTGGCTCTTCAAATCGAATTGCTAGAGAAAGTTGGAAGATCTTCAGAGAAATCAGTACTTGCTACCTCATTACTGGGTTCCCTAGAAAATTATTTCTTTCTGAATTATTTGTGACTTGATCCTCACCCCCCTGCCAACTCTACCAGTTAACCAGGTTAATTAATAATTGACTATATTAAGAAAGTATAACTTAGAAATCTCTGACAACCTGAAACCATTTTACTTTATTTTTTTAAAAGAAAATACATGTCACATCATTATATAATCATTTAAAAGTTATTCCAAGTTTTTAATCGGTTTAAATAATTTAATATTAATTATAATATTTAATATTATAGTTCAGTATTTTAGTAGTTAATGTTAGTGATGGCATAAATAATTAAATAATAAATCCCATGTAAATAGTCACTGAGGCTCAAATTAACACTGTATCAATACTGCTATATAACTGTTAATATTCTTTATAAAAATAACAGAAAAATTACCTTGGTGTTCTTCTAAGTCCATATCAAGTTGTCTAATTTCTTCATTAAATTGATTTATTTTTTCTTTTAAATCTGTTAACCTGTTGAAAATGTTATTTAATACATTTATGAGATAGTATATTCAGTGAAAATATTCAAAGATTATATTAGAAAACCTTCAATATTTTCTAAGCTGTATAAATAATATCTAGAAATAACATGCCCTATTCTGTTAGTACTACAAATTTAGAGAGAAATTTTTTTTCTAGATCTTTTTTTCATGATTCACATCTGAACTGCAAGTACATTTTGAGAATGTTAGGTTGTCTAACTTCAAGAGTAGACGTTTCCCCCAATTTTTTTAGCTTGCCTTAAAACACTAAGGAAGTAGAAAATATTTAATAACTTTTTTATAGGTTTGTTTCAAATGAACTAAGTTGGCAAATTAGTCTCAAAAATTGGAAAATAAGAGAAAATTTACCACTAACAGAAGATTATATTGGTTAAAATTCTAGCAAAAAGCAGTTGTGCTTATTATGAAACTATAATAATCATAACAGTGTGGTATTGGAATAAGGACAGGTGTATACACACACACACAATCACACACATATATGTATATATATACATATATATGTATAAATGAAGTAGAATTGTGAGTCCAGAAATAAGACCCTATATCTACATATAAGGTCTTACATGAAGAATTTTGAATTTTCTCTAATTCTCACCGAAGGATTTTTTAAAACTGATTTTAGAGAGGAAGGGAGAGAGAAACATTGGTATGAGAGGGAAACACCCATCAGTTTGCTCCCACATGTGCACCAACTGAGGATCAACCTACCATCTAGCCATGTGCCCTGACTGGGAATAGAATCTGCAACCCTTTGGTGTATGAAACGACACTCCAACCAACTGACCCACCTGGACAGGGCTATATTTTATTTTTGACAAAGGTGCAAGACAATTACATGGGGAAGGAATAATGTTTGTTAAAACAATATTTCAACAAAATGGTGCCTGGACAATTGGATATGCACAACAAAAGAATAAAACTGGACTCCTACCTTACATCATATACAAAAGTTGACTCAAAATGAATACATCTAAATGTAAGAACTAAATTATAAAACTCAGAATAAAACATAACCATAAATCTCTGTGACTTTGGATTAGGCACTGACACCAAAAGCATAAGCAACAATAACCAAAAAAATAAATAAAAGAGACATCATCAAACTGGCTGGTGTGGCTTAGTGGATTAAGCGCAGGCCTGCAAACCAAAGGGTTGCTGGTTGGATTCCCAATCAGGGCACATGCCTGGGCTGCAGGCCAGGTCCCCAGTAGGGGGCACGTGAGAGGCAACCACAGGTTGCTGTTTCTCTCCCTCACTTTCTCCCTCCCTTCCCCTCTCTCTCAAAAATAAATAAATAAAATCTTTATAAACAATAGATATCATCAAAATTTAAAACTTTTATGCTTCTCAAAGGACACAGCAAGAAAGTAAAAAGATAAATCTACAGATAGGGACAAAAATGTTGCAAATCATTTATCTATTAAAAGTTTTGTGTTTGGAATCAGTGAAGAACCATTAAACTTTAGTAATAAAGATAAATAACTCAATTAAAAAATGGGCAAAGGATCTAAACAGACATTTCTCTAAACAAGATATACATATGGCCAGTATGTACAGGAAAAGAAGCTCAACATTATTAATCATCAGGGAAATACAAATCAAAACCATTATGAGGTACTACTTCATACCCACTAGGATGACTGTAATCAAAAGGGAGATAAACAAGTGTTGGTGAGGACATGGAGAAATTGGAACCCTCACACACTGCTGGCAGAAATGTAAAGTGGTATGGCTGTAATGGAAAATAGCCTGACAGTTCCCCCCAAATTAAATATGGAGTTACTATATGAGCTATTAATTCCATACCTAGGTATATACCCAAAAGAAGTGAAAACATATGCCCACACAAAAACTTGTACGTGAATTTCACATCAGCATGCTAATAGCCAAAAACAGAAAAAAATCTAAATGTCCATCAATAAATGAACAAAAAAATATGGTATATCTACATAATGGAATATTTGGCAATAAAAAGAAATGAAGCAGTGATATATAGTACAACACAGATGAGCCTTGAAAACATTACACTAAGTGAAAGAATCCAGCCACAGGACCACATATATATGATTCCATTAATATAACATGTCCAGAATAGGCCAATCTACAGAAACATAAAGTAAGAGTAGTTCTCTAGGACTTGGATGGGGGGATGAGAGGGGTGATGTTTAGGGGTGTGGTGTAAATTTGGGGTGACTGAACTGTTCTAAAATTGAAATGATGCCTACATAATTCTGTGAATAAACTAAAAACCTCTGAATTGTAAGGTTTAAATATGTGAATAGTATGAAATAAAGCTGAAAATAAGATTGAAAGTTGCATCAGTATTATCCATATGAACCACAAAAAGTTACTGTAACAATATACACCTCTTATACATTTAGAATATAATTTAAAAAATGAGAAAGGGGTGCAAATGTCCTAGTATATATGTACTTACTGTCTCTCCATGCTAGCTATTTCCTGATTATCTTCTTTTACCTAAAAAGTCATCAAAAGAAAATACCCATAGTTTTTAAAGAATTACTGGCTGTTAGGCTATCTTAAAGAGAATTTCCTGCTAAGGTATGTTGCACTAAAATGTTAAATCTTGTCTCTTTCTAGAAACTTCTAAAAATTCAACCTTCAAATATAAAAGGAATATCATTAAGGAACTATTCATGAAGTTTTATTTCTTCCTCAAAAGAAAGGTTGGTGACATATTTTTGTACTAATCCACATGGTACCATGAGGTTAACACATCTTCAGGACTACATCAATTTACAGGAACATCTAGGATACAAACCCCAGCACAGAGGTAGGCTTGACAGATTTAGCAATCCCACTACGTTTGAATTTCAGATAAACAATAAATTTTACTATATATATGAAATATATTTATTTCTTTTTGATTATTCTTTGCTTATCTGAAATTCAAATTTATTGTATTTTATCTGGCAATCCTATCCAAGATCACTCCTCTCCTGCCTCCAATGGTCTCTTTGCAAGGAACTTCAGAGATTCTATATTTTAATACCTTTCTAGAATGATTCTAACACTTAAATAGCAGGGTTGATCCTTAAGGTCTTCCAGACCAACTGGGTTTGATCTAAGGTCACAAAGGAGAGCCATTTGTGGGCTCCTAACTAGAGCTATTCCCAAATACATATGCAGTTCTCCTATAGTTAGGATATCTCAGGATAAATAATAGGCTAATTATAAGTTAATATTCAATTAAAGCCAGCGTTGGTGTAGTAAGAAAGCTACTGCATACATGTGACATAACCTAATGACATTGTGATTTAATAGAAGATTTTAATTCCATTCACTTCACAGAGGCACTGATAGTAATAACCACAAAAAATCATTAGTGGTGAGGTACTTCATTTACCAAATAGGAAGCCTAAAACAAATAATGAAACAGATCTTCAGTAAGATTATCTAATTACTTACTAACTAATAAAGAAGAGTTTTAAATTTTCCTTATAAAAATCCAAAATATAAAAAAATAGCCAAATAATGCATGAACATCATATAAAATTAGAATGTAAGTCAAAAAGACAGTTTATATGAGGAATGTCTTTTACTAGATTTTCTTGGTCAAGAAGTTCATAGTAATTCAGTGAAGTTCAATTTTTTTTCACTGTTTTTTTTAAGCCAATAAACTTACTGGCTTTCTGTTCAACCTATATGACATAAATAAAATAAATTAACACATTTATGAAATTCTGACATATTAAAATAACTATGTTTGTTTTTTCTACCTGCTTAAGTAATCTCTCTCTCTCTTCCATTGGAGATCCCATGCTTTTGTCTTCAGCAATCATTTGATCTCGATGGGACTCTAACTCATCAAGTTTTTCATGCAGCAATACAGCCTCCTGTTTTACCTGGGAGTGTGCTATTTCCTGAAGGGAACAAAGAAAGAAAAATTATTATTTTATTAAAAACTATTTCAAACAGGTTTCCTTTTATAAGAATAAGGACACATTAAACCATGGGCATCTTTAAGTAGAGAAATCAAGTACCTAGAGTACTCAGTAATGCTACAAAACCCATTTCTAAACTGGAAGAAAAAAAATCCCTGTATATTTTCAGTCTGAGATTCACAAGAAGAGGGTAGACTTATTTTATTTTCTAAATATAGGACTTGAATGGAGATAAAGATATCTCTACCAATGGGAAAATAATTAAAAAAATGTCACAATGTATGTGCAACTTTAACTACAATATCCAATTCAAAGAATAAAGAACTGATCTCTAGAGAAGCGATTTTCAACTTTTTCATTTCATGGCAGACATAAACTAATTATTATAATTCTGCAGCACATTAAAAATATATTTTTTGCCAACTTGATAAAAATATGTAAAGTTTTGATTCATTCGTACCAGATGACTTGTGTTGGCTGTTGCCAATTTTTAATTAAACAGTGCAAGGGAAAAGAGGTCAGTCTCCTTTATAAAGTCAGGTATTGCATATTTTAAAAATTCCTGCAGCACACTACCTGAAAATAACTGCTCTAGAGGAAAAATATTTTCCCCTGAATAGGTCATATATATACTTCCCCACAATATTATGAGTGAACTGTATCCCCTGAAAAGATATATTGAGCCCTGTGGTGTAGTGATGGGCTTTAGAGGTGTCCCTGGGGCATGATTAAAAAAAAAAGATATATTGAAGTCCTAATCTCCAGTACCTGTAAATGTGACCTAATTTGGAAATGGAGTTTTTGAAGATTTAGTCAAATTAAGATGAGTTATTAGGATGGATCTTAATCCAGAATGAGATTTGTGTCCTTACAAGAGATAAAGACAGAGGCACACAAGGAGAATGCTATGTGATGACACAGGCACAGACTGAAGTGATGCAGCTGTGAGTCAGAGAGGATGCCATGGTCCGATGGCCACCACCAGAAGATAGCAGGGAGGGTTCTATCCAGAGTATCAGAGGGAGCATGGCTCTGCTGACATCTTGGTATCATATTCAGTTGGAAAAAAAGTTCATTTGTTTTTTTCTGTAAGATGGGTCTAGTAGCACTTAGTTGTCTTGAACTTCATTCGAAACAATTTTGTTAGAATATACTGTGACAGCTGTCATATCAACATGCATTAAAAAAAACTTGTCTAAATTAGTGAATTTTTTGTAGCCATTTTAATATTGATGGTGGAAGAAAATAAGCAACATTTTTGGCATTCTACTCATTATTATTTCAAAAAAGGTAAAATGCAATTGAAACAAAAAAGATTTGTGCAGTGTATGGAGAAGGTGCTGCGACTGGTCCAATGTGTCAAAAGTGGTTTGAGAAGTTTCTTGCTGGAGATTTCTTGGTGAATGATCTTCCACAGGTAGGTAGGCAAGACAAAATTGATAGTGATCAAATTTAGACATTAATTGAGAATAATCAACATTATATCACATGGGAGATAGCCAAGACACTCAAAATATCCAAATCAGTAAGTTATTGGTAAAAATGAAAAATGTCTTTTATTTTATGGAAAAAAACTAAATGGACGTTTTGGCCAACCCAGTATTTCCAGCCTCCAGAACTACTGAGATAATTTGTTGTTTAAAGCTAACCAGCAGTGCTGGGAAACTAATACACACAAACAGAATAGTTATGGTGTATTTGGCACTGTTCTACTGCACAAAGAGAAAACAGATATGGTTTATTAGATGACCAAAATAGCTAGGGATATTGGTGGTGGTGTTGGTGGTAATGGTGGCAGTGATAGTAATGCTGATGATAATGAAAAAAGAGACATCTGAAGTTGTTATTTATTGAGCACTGTTCTATGGCAGGAACTGTACTCCATATACTTTACACATTATCTCTAATACTCAAAACAACTCTATAAGATAGTAAGTGCTATCATCTCTGTTTTACAGGTGAGGAAATTGGAGGATCTACAGTATAAATAATTTTTCTAAGTTAACCAAAATAAAAGTTAATGATAATATCTGAACTCAGGCCTCACATCATAAACAAGGTCAAATTTGTAAGAGAAAGGACCTCCTTTTTGAAAGCAACAGAAAAGGGATCTTAAAAATAGGATAGAAAACAGGCTGAAAGTGACCAGAGGGGGGAGGGGAGGGAATTTCAGGGGAAAAGGAGAAGGGTTTGCAGGAACAAGTATAAAGGACACATGGACAAAAACAAGGTGGGGGGCATGGAAACGGAAGGGAAGTGGGGAGGGCTTGGGAGTGGGTGGGATGGAAGTAAAAGACAGAAAACTATACTTGAACAATTAAAATAAAATAAGATGAAAAAAGTTAATGTTTTAAAGTTCACAGGTGAAGGGTTATGTATATCAGTAATGGATTAACTTCAGGTGAAAAGGCATAACAATAAAATACAGATAAAAGAAATGCAAATATTTTGAGGTATCCCTTTCATAGCATCTTCCCCTTCATTTTGCTTAACCATCCTATAGATTTCTTCAAGTTGCATCTCCATAAAATTGTCCCTGAAGACTCAAGCTCACGTTGATCCTTCACCTAATTTTTAACACCCCTGTAAAATGAATTAGTAATACTTAGCACAGTATTAGTGAGCCACAGTAGATATTGAAATACTAGATGATTGATATTTGGTATAATGTGTTCCTGAAGAACATGTTAAAAAATATAAGCAGGGACTTCCGCCAAGATGGAGGTTTAGCTGGATGTGCCTGCCTCCTCACACAACCAAGTTTAGGGACAACTAAATATTAGCATCAGAAGGCACAACCAGAACACGGAAAACTGAACTTTTCGGAAGTCCGCTAACAACAAATTCTTCAGCCTGACCGGTAAGGGGCGAAACCGGCATCGGGTGAGGACTTACAAAGGAGGGCTCGGTCGGACCGGGCGCGGAATCCAGACGTGCGAATCCAGTCGCGCGGGTTCCAAACCCAGGATTGGACCTAGTGAGCCACCGAGCAGCCCACTGGGGGAGCGACACAGTGGGGAGGCGGTGGCAGCGAGTTGACTGTGGTTGCCTGGTTGCGCGCGAGTGAGGGAGTGAGCGGTTGGACCGGCGGGGGGGGGGGGGCCGGCGGCGGCGCGCCATTTCCCGCTCTGACCACGCCCCCACATACAGCGTCACAACCCAGCGACCTGGGGCTCCAAGGTGCTGCTTGTCCCACTTAAAGGTCCAGAACAGACCAAAAATGTCGCAGGCAGAACTCAAAGCCCCAGAGATAAATCTAAATGATGAAGAAATAGCAAAACTCTCAGACGCACAGTTTAAAACACTGGTCATCACCTTCCCTCACAGATCTGGTGGATTACAGCCACAAATTAGAGAAACATATGGAGGCTAAATTAAGGGAAATGAATGGAATTCCACAGGAATCCCATAGAGATGAAAAGGAAACTGGGACTCAAATCAATGCAGTGGACCAGAAGAAAGCAAATAATGGACAAACAGAAAAGAGTCAAGGAGCAAGAATTCAAAGAAATGAGGAGAGTCTTAGGAACCTCCAGGACATCTTTAAACGCTCCAATATCCGAATTATAGGGGTACCAGAGGGGGGAAAGACACAACCACCAGTGGAAAAACTATTTGAACAAATAATAAAAGAAAATTTCCCCAATCTGGCAAAGGAAATAGACTTCCAAGAAATCCAAGAAGCCCAGAGAGTACCAAAAAAGTTGGACTCAAGAAGAAACACACCAAGGCATATCATAATTACATTAGCCAAAATTAAAATGAAGGAAAGAATCCTGGAAGCAGCAAGAGGTAAGCAATCACCTACAAAGGAGTCCCCATCAGGCTGTCAGCAGATTTCTCAAAAGAGACCTTACAGGCAAGAAGGGGCTGGAAAGAAATATTCCAAGTCATGAAATCTAAAGACCTACAACCAAGATTGCTCTACCCAGCAAAACTTTCATTTAGAACGGAAGGAAGGACAGATAAGGTGCTTCTCAGATAAGACCAAATTCAAGGAGTTCATCATCACCAAGCCCTTATTATATGAAATGTTAAAGGGACTTATCTAAGAAAAAAGAAGTTAAAGAAACATGAACAGTGAAAGGACAACAAACTCACAGTTATTAACAACCACACCTAAAACGAAAGCAAACTAAAAGGACAGCTAGAGCAGGAGTGGAAACATAGAAATGAAGATCTCAAGGAGGGTTAGCAACAGGGGAGTGGGAGGAGGAGATGGGGGGAGAAGGTACAGAAAACAAGTAGCATAGACAGTAGATAGAAAATAGATGGGGGCGCGAATAGTTTGGGAAATATAGAACCTAAAGGACTTGAGACACATGGACATAAACTAAAGGGGGGTAATGGTGGGGTTGGGGGGGCAGGGTGGAGGGGAATGGAGGGGGGAATAGAACAACTGTAACAGCATAATCAATTCAAAAAAATAAATAAATTTAATTAAAAAAACTTTCATCAAAAAAAAATATATATAAGCAATCGGCAAAAGTTAACTAGAATTAGTGACTTATATTTTGATTTGAGAATGCTGTAAAAATTCATGTTATTTTGGGCATATGTGTACTGACACCAAAAAAAGACGGGCATCAATATAAACACTAAATCTGAGGTTATAGCTTACACCTTTTTGTGGAAACTAAATTTGCCAGGAGAAATAAGAATTGACTCTCTCCTACATGCCCTAAAAAACAGTAAGACATTATGCAAGCTAGGTGTATTAATATTAAATGCTGTCCTTTTTCTTTGAGGCATATTTCTATCATTACAGAGATCCAAAAAAATAAAATTTGTGTGTACCCACATAGGGCAATCTGATACAAAAAAAATCTTAATACTTTAAGCAAACTATTTTAACAGCAAATTTCCAAAATAATGATTACAAAATACTCATATTCATTTCTTTTGCAAGCTAGGTGACAACAATCATGTCAATCTACAATTGTTACTAATTTTATCATCATTGTATCCACAAGATTCCATAAGAAATCAGGAAAAGGCAGGCAAAGTTTAAGGTGCAGAGAGTATATTGAAGTACAAAGGACATGAAAATGTAGTTCACAGAGAAAGAAATACATTGGGAACAACAGATGTATAAAAAGATAATTCAACTTCATGCATAAATAAATGAAAATTAAAACATGATAGTAATTTTTCTTAATAAACCAGCAAAAATGGAAAAGGTGGGTAATGCCTGATGTCAGTGACAGCAGGTGAAATTAGGCACTCTCATATTTTCAGTCTAGGAGTAGAAAATGCAAGGACCTTTTTAGAAGGCAATTTGGCAATCTCACAACATTTTAGAAGCATGTAATTTTGACCTATTACAAAAAATTTATCTTAAGACATGCTCATATAACTTTGTATAAAATGTATGTTTTCACTGAAGCATTATTTATAATCCCCACAAACTACAAACAACCTATTCATTACAAGGCTATATTACAGTTATTCAATTTAATATAATGCAATACTTTTAAAATAATGCAGGAGCTTTATAAGAGCTATGTAAATAGACAGTTAAGAATGTTAAGTGGAATTATGCTGCCGATGGCTCTGGCTGAGTAGCTCCGCTGGTTGGTAGGGTGTCATCCTGATATACCAAGGTTGTGGGTTTGATCTCAGGTCAGGGTACATACAGGATGAAACCAATGAATGCATAAATAAATGCAACAACAAATTGATGTCTCTCTCTCTCAAATCAATTTTTAAAAAAGCTGCAAATGGAATATTAAGCATGAATCCCACTTAATGTTTTCCAGAACAGTAAAACCACATTAGGATTATATGATTGTTGTGAAGATTCAACGACAATGTTGATGATATATGTCAAGAAACCAAAAAACCATATAGAACACAATAAATATGTAGTTCTGTCTGGAAAGAAGGCAAAAAGCAATCAGGCATTTTTACTTTCATCTTACTCAAATTTTTAAATTTATAAACATGGTTTGTGAATTAAAACTGCTTTAAGTAAACAGATAAGAAAATGAATGCAAGCTTTTACATCTTGAACTGATCTCTGTTGCTCTTCATTTGCTTTTGGTCCCTTGTTCATGTCTTTAAATGACTACGAGATTTTTGTGTGCTGCAGGAGAACAAATGACTTGTTTTGTACAAAGTAGGTACTCAATAATTGAATCTAATTCCTTACTAAATTAGGATAGTTATGGTACTGAATGAGAAAACTTATTATATTAGTATAAACTGCTAAAGAAATATGTATTTGAATGTGTTCCATTAATATGTTTAGCTGAATTATCTTTTGTAGCTGAGTAAAATAAGAAGCCTTATTTGATTTTTATACTTACGGTTTCTAGACTCTCTTTTTTCATGTTCAGTGAATCTAGTTGTTGCTGAAGTATATCTAATTCCTAAAAGGAGGGGAAAGAAATATACATACAAATTACATTAAGAATAGATTTCCTTCTGTTTCTCAACATTTCAAATATGTATGTGACAAAGTAAATTCTGTAAACATCTTCAACATGTATCCTGCAATATGAGTAAAATTTATTAACATTCATTTTTATTTTTGCCAACTTCATTATTTCTAAAAATTGTGCCAAGATTCACTTCAATTATAAAGTATAAAAATACTTTATACACTTGATTGAGGTAGCCAGACCTTTTCACACTGAATCATTAATATACCATAATCATCAGTTTCAGAAGTCTTCAAATTTGTTGTCATTGTTTAAAGTTATGATTTTTAATTTTGATTTTAAGCAAGTTTTCATATCTTTTGCCTAATCCCTTTTGAAAATTAATCAAGTTATATTTTAATATTTTATTTTAGTATAGTAAGAAGACTTAATATGTCCCTAATTTCTTTTAGAGCCAAGGCCTATAGCAATTTATGTGACTCACTCCTTTCAGGGATAAGATCCTTAAACTAATTCTTACTCATTTGAAAACCCATGTGCAGCTTTAACTATATTTTGGCATTTCTGTAATATCTTTTTTTCATTGTTTCATTGTATGTTATAAATCCCGTCTAAAATAAAAGTTAAACTGTCAATGAAAGAATGTCTGAGAAACTAGAACTACTTTCATTGCTGGCATTTGCGGGGACTAATTCTCTGTCAACTGGTTTCAGGACACCTGGGCATGAAAGAATACTGTCTTCCAAGTCTGAGTTGCTGGCAAGATTGAACATTGGGAAGATTCTCAATAAAGAATGAGAATCTTTATTCTTTCTTTATTTGGGTCCCTCAGCAGGCACCCAAATTGGTTATTTAAACATCGCAATTGGGGGCAACTGCTGTTCAAATTAAGGACATAGCAGGTAAAAGATTTGCTGCTTATTGGACAGGAAGAGAAGGAAAGAAAGTAAAATATTCATATGACTTGGCTATATGAAGCCTTTTCATGTTGCCATTAAAAGTTCATTAAAAAACAAATATTTTCATATTTCTTTATGACATTCAAAAAATGAAGGATGCATAGAACTAAACAAATTATATAGTAAAAGCTAGGTCATCATGCAGCATAAGAAAATAAAGTTTTCTAGATCAGTGTTTCTCAATTTAAATGTCCATATGAATCATCTGGAGACCTTGTTAAAATGACTGATCAGTAAGTGTAGCTGAGCTCTCGGGGGATGCTGCCCACAGCAGCGAGATTGCTATATGCCTGGCTCAAAGTACTAATTAGTATTACCTGTAATAATTTCTCATTTGTGGTTTTCATTTCTATGTACTTGACTTGTTTTTCAGGAGACATATTTTTGATAATGCCATCTGCTGCTTGTTTTTCCTGTTCAATCTCCTCTTCTACACTTCGAATTTGCTTCTCCTTCCTGAAATCAAAAGTATGCATTACTATACTGAGGGGAAAAATCCCATTGATTAATTCTACTTATGTGCTGGTCTCAATTAAATAGGGTACTTAAATTCATTCAATCCTAATGTATGATCTAAAAGTCCTTACAGATGGACAAAATAATTCTATGTGACCTGTACATAATGTGGACCCCATCAACACAGACTTATTTTACATCTTTCTCTTCTCAACCCCCCAATGCTGCTATTTCTTTACTCTCCATTTTACTTACATTCTTGTAAGAAAACATTAAAATTTTCACAGAAAGTCATTAAAGCTTTCTAAATATGAGGATGTATTTACATTTTTTGTTATCATACTCTCAAGTCAAGTAAGATAGTTAAATATTAGAGTAGTAGTTCTCAAACATTTTTGGCCACAGAATTATTTGATCAAGTGAAATATTGTATGGAAGTTTACCATGTAAATCATATGAAGTAGCACAGCTCTGACTGAACTGGGAGCAGGGAGACCTATATTGTGATTTGATTTTTTTTTAAATCATAGCTTTAGATGAACATGTTTTGCTTAAATTTCCCAATATCTGCTTTAATTAAAGTGGTATTCCACATATTATCAACTGTATTTTAGCAAAATAATAATTTTCCAAAACAAAATCTTTATTATATAACTACAAGAGATACCAGTTATGTGCCTGTTGTTACCCTATGCAAGGTCAGTTATCAGTAGGACAAAAATTCTGAAAAAATATAGAAAAGGTAAGATGCTAGTTATCATGTAAATATTTTAAGATCAACATATAAAAAACTTTCCTGAAGACAAATTTTAGTCCCAATGACATAAAATTCTGAGTTTCAAAATATGATTCTATTTAATCTCTACTATTCTACTATTTAAATCTACTATTTAATCTTTTTCACATGTGGGCTCTAACTTCCAGTTTTCACGACCACCAGCCAAGCCATACAGATCCACATACTGCCCCCTCAATCTTTAGTCATACTCTAACAAAATAAGGTAAACTCAGAAATCTTCCTATAAACATATCATAATAATTGAATAATGAACACAATGAAACAGAGCACCTGGATTTTTTATTTTTGTCTCACTGTAGAACAAGGAGTGATATCTTTACTTTGCACCTCAATTACTACAGTGTTCCAGGTTACAAGTATGCTTGCTGCTGCTACAATATATGGGTATATAGGCTCATAGAACTTACAAGCAGAAAAAATTACTATTTCAATCTTTTTGTTTCATAGATTAAGGATACTGAAACCTAGAGGAGCTAATCTTTTAAAACTAACTCATGCTGAATTCCATGATTACTCACCTCTAATAATGACTCATAACCATGTTTTTGCCTGATATATCTCAGTGTAGTTAGATGGAAACTGAGGTACAGTATCCCATTTTACAGAGAAGTTAACCGCACAAGGAAGGTAAGTGACTTTTTGAGGGCCACATAATGGCCATGTGTCAAATGTTTTGATGTTTTGAGCACTTTGCTCCTGTTATAACTTGGCAGTAAAGCCCCAATGATGGTGTCATAAAAATGAATAAATAACGAAGTAGAAACTCAGAGGACTACTAAACTTGGTGGTATCTTTTCAACTTGTTTCTTTCTAAACACAAAATAACTTTAGGACTAACAGTTAAGTCACTTTAGCTGTTTGTCTTTCAAAGTATGCATTTTCAAAATTATATGCTTTAACTCACAAAGTAAATTTGTTAATATTTAAATTTGTTAAGAGTCATTAAATACAAAGGTTATGTAAACCACCTTATTACTTTGAAGAAGTCAAAGATGACTTTAAGAAATTATTCTTCTGGTCAATCTTTTGCTAAGGAAGCCTAGTGTTTGTCTTTTTTTAAAATCTCCTGTTCACTGGGTACAAAGGTTAAAGCAAAGTGAAATGCGATCATATGACGTACTTTTCTTTTCAATGGTGCAGAAGAAACAGATTAGATTCCTTAGCACACCAGTCTCAGAGAGAAAAAAGAAAAGGTAAGTCTTATATTTATTTACAGGTTTGGTGGCTGTTGAAATTTTTAAAAAATTCATATTTGTTTGTTAAATCTGTACAAAACCTTTGACTTTACTAAATGATGAAAGAGCTGAAAATGTAATTATATTTTCACACACTCTAGAACACAGGTGGCAAACACAGGGCCGACAGGCCAAATCCGGCTCTCCACCTTGTTTTATCCAGCCTGGCACCTTGTCTCTACCCAGCGGCAGCACTGAGCTTCTTGCCCCTAGTTAAGGAGTAGTTACATTTATACAGTCCTAAAATTATATTTAGCCCTTTGAAGGAAACTATGAAGCTAATGTGGCCCTGGTGAATGAGTCTGACACCCCTGCTCCAGAAACATTAAACTTAAATTGGCCAAAATTTTTTTCCTAAATAATGCTATCATGTAATAAAAATTGATTATTTTTCTTTTTCAAAAAAGGTTTCACCTATCCAATCAAATTTATTAAATCATTTTATTTTGAAATATATTAATCACAGAGCATTCTGAAGCAACATTAAATTAAAAAACAAATTTGTATAACAAAAACATACTGGCCACCAGTACGTAATTGTTGAAATTGGGTGATGATTATTCTCTTTATTAGGAGGTTTTTTCCTTAAAATTTTCCATTACAAAAGTTTTTAAACTGCAAAAAAATGTATAAAATGGTTAATCACAGAAGTGAAGTTAATCATGAATTATTAACATTTAACTCCCAAATACATTGATTTTGGCTTAAATATCTAAAATATTTAATGGCAAAACTATATATATAGTTAACAAAACCAAAATAGTTATAGCACACTTTTATTTCATGGTATGTAAATCATATAAAGCAAATAACCAAAAACACCTAAGACATTTGAACTTTAAAACTACTAAAAACAACACTGTTTCTTTTTCAATATCTACCACTTCGTCTTGGGCAAAGCTTTTTTTCTCTATGTAGGCTGTAGGCTATGTAAAAGGGCATGCCATTTGTGAAATAATTAAAAGAAACTGAGAACAAGGGGACAGTGACCAGAGGGGAGAGGGAAGGGAATTTAAGGGGAAAAAAGGGAAGGGATTTGGAGGAACAAATAGGAAGGACACAGGGATGAGAACTAAGGGGGGAGGAAATGGGAGGGAGGTGGGGAGCAAGGGGCGGGGGAAGCTGGGATGGGAGAAATAGACAGAAAACTGTACTTGAAAAATAAGTAAATAAAAATTAAAAAAAAGAAACTGATATTCTATATATTCTCTATTTTTGGGGTTTAAATTTAAACCCAAATTTCAAAATAAATTTCAAATTGAGAGAAAAATCCTATGGGGGAAAAGGTAGTTATAACTCTCATCTAATAAAAAAGACAGTTTTTTATTAAATGGGGTAAACTGACTTAACAATTTCTTCATATTCAACTGACTAGCTATTCTGCCAATCTGATTTCTTCAAGATAGCCAATAATGCTATCTTGCAAATGTTTTTCGCAAGCAAAAATGTTTCTGCTAGCAAAATGTTTTTTCTGTCTGAATATTTACCCATTCAGTGTCATGGTCAACATCCACTCCCTCTCAATATTTCCTCTCTCAAAAGATTCACAAATGTACGAAATGCCCCACTGAACAGGGGGCCTAATCAATGCACTTCATGGCTTTAGATTGTTGAATGCTTCTTGCACAGAATCAACTTAAGCTCTGAGTATATACTTCTAACTTTCAAATTTATCAAACAGAAAGAAAAATAATATTTCTTTTCTAATCCTTATAATTTTATCTTTTAACATACTGGAGAAAATAATTATTAGTATTAAATAGATGATAAAGCTAATAAATAAAAGAGGATCCTATCTCTATTTCCACATAGGCTACAGTCCTACGTGACTCCTATTACCTTCTTCAGCTAGTTCTATTCCATATCAATGCCTTATTTAAGTTCAGTTAATTTTCTTTGTAGCCTATTTGCTTCCTTTAAGGATCACTATTTTACTTATTTCTGAAAAAACAGCACTTCTCCCCTATTCATCATTACTTGACACATACCTGTACCCTACCAGAAACATCAGTCAGATGCCTACACCATTGACAAATACTAAAACAAGCCAATGAAGAGGCTGCACACATTTTTGGAGATCACTAAACATGGGTAAAATGCCTTTATAAATGATTTAGGGACCTTTTGTGGGCAATGGTCTAGAGTGATAATGATAGAGTCAGAAATGAGTTCAAGTGGTTACCACTTGAACTCATTTCTGACTCTAAATTCTATTGTGATCTACATTCAAGTTATAAAATGTAGGAGGAACAGTGGCTTTTCCTAACAAATTTGATTTAACTACAGAAAGGGAGAAAGTAGAAGGGGAATAAGCATCAACAGATAAACAATTGAAGGGACATTAACTAGAACAGATAAGTATCAAAATAAGTACCTCATTACTAATGAGGTAACAGACTTCAGCAAAGTAAAATGAGTCTTGCTCCTTCTGAGTAGTTTTCCACTTCCTGCTCTGGTACAATAAATTTTTCCTTAAAAATTGTAAGTAACTAATTGCATATGCTATAAAAAAGGCTCAAAAATAAGACTGGAATTTTAGAAAACCACTAAGGATGATACTAACAGGATATATTCACACCTTTCAAACAGATCATTTGTTTGCAGCATAGTTTCTAGTGTTGACTGAAAACGCAGATATAAAAACAAGAAACTAACATCATGAGTGGAATCACTAAATGGAAATTAACTATTTAGCAAAAAAAAATTTATTCAAATAAATGGCAACTTCTAGTGAAAGATGGCATATTGAATGTACCCATTAATACTGACTCAAGACCCAAACATGACTAAGATGTAAATAAAAGGTAGTAAGGAGTGTAAGCCCATAAAAACAAAGAATGAAAGAGGAGGCAAAAGCTATAAAACCTAGACACTAGCAAGTTAACAGTTAAGTGGAAACTGATTGGAAAAGCTAAATTTTCTCAAGCCAGCAGTGTGGAAAGCTCAGAAGCCACCTGATTTATACT